AAGGAACATCATCACCATCATCATCGGCAGCAACAACAACACCACCACCAACAACGACACCACCAACAACGACACTGCCGCCACCACCACCACCACCACCACCACCACCACCACCACCACCACCAACAACCACGACGACGACGACGACGACGACGACGACGACGCGGCAACGGCGACCGCAGCAGCAGCAGCAAGAGCGGCTAACTAACACTCTAAACCCTCAACCGGATCACAGTCTTGCTGGGCCAAAGCGGCCTTGTCCAATCGATGGCTTCTGGGGATGTCATTCCTGGGACATCATGGGACACGTGAGTTTGCTGGCTGAATGAAGCCCCCGACGAAACCCGAAGTGTGAGTCTGAGCATGCGGTGATATGAAACATCCGATTATGAAGATCAAGCGCGAGACCTTCACAGGGAGACTCGTAACTGCAGACAGGATCTCAGGAAGGGAGTCTTGGGGTAGGGTTGAACGGCGCAGCCGACACATATCTTGCCACCCCAAGCTGAAGGATTGAAACTCAACGACTTCTCCGCGGTATCCTGTGTACCAAGCATGAACATTAACATACCTTGTTGGTTAAACGTTATGACTTGCCTCGTATCGGCAGCTGAAAAATAATTTTACACGAAATTATCAACTAAAGCGCCCTACAAATTCACGTCGTTTCAGTTTCAGGTAGAACCTACAACCCTGCGGTCTACATCCAAATCCCGCAAGCCCTAAATCCAGCCCTTCGGTCTTCCATAAGCCTCACCATCACCAGCAAAAAACCAGGCGCAACACACTCCAGACTCATTTTCGTCAAGTTAAATTCCACTGTAAGCCAAGGCACTCAAGTCCGGCGTGATCATGGCTAAGGATGCGGTTCCTGGTCTGCAGGGCATCGGATGTAGGGTAGGTTTGCAGCTTGTCTTGGGCCATTGGGACTTTCTGGTGTGGCATGCATCTCTCCTGCATGGGCTTTCGCTGTGCTTTTTGAGGGTCTCTTAGGATCTATGTGGTTTCGGGGCCCGCAGAGGTTTTTCAAAAGCTCAGGGCTTGCCGGAAGCCTTGATGCCCCTCGGTAGTATACGAGAATATAATACTACTATAATATACTCTCATATACTATACTATGTAACTATATACTATAATATGCATTGATCCGTTCCGGGCGTGAAAAAGAAGTGCGGGTCTCGTACTGGGATGTCAAGTTGACGCCTTTCAAGGCCCAGAAATAGGCAAGAGTAGACGTGGGACAGAGAGAGTAGGGCCCTTATAGCAGCATCTTGATTTGCCGGCTCCTGGCAGCCTTCTCTAACATAACGTAAACATCGAGCACAGCGAATACCACAGATTTGGAAAAATCAAGACAAACCCTCAACCAGCCTGAACAAACTCGATCCCTAAGTTCAAAAGCCTACACCTTATACCGCTTGTAAAGCATGCAAGGCCCTACATGGTGCGGAGCCCCACAGGAAGCCAATGCGCCAAACAGTGAGTTTTGAAAACGTTATATATAGTCTTTAAGGACAACTGAAAATACACATCATCCGAGAGGCTGTGTCAGTTTTGGGGGGAGTCGGGATCAAAGCTTAAAGCGCTTTGCACTGCTTTTTCGGTGGACAGGGGTCAAAGTTTAATAGTCTTCAGGACTTCAACCCACCCAAACCCAATAGCCTAAGACCCATGCATACATAGCACCCTTAAAAGGTATTTGACTATGGGGTTCTAAACTAGGGTCCCCTTTAATTAACGCGCACCCGAAACCCTGAACCCTGAGTGTTAGGGTCCCCCTTAAATCGAGCCCAAAGCTCTTTCGGCATTCAGCATCTGGTCGAGGATATATTTCAGCTCCTGGACGGGCTGGCAACTCGGACAAGCCCGGAGAGCCCAATACCCTTGAATTAAGGAATACAGCTTAGACCATAGTATTAAGGCCCCTATGATTTAAGCTATATTCCTTCATTAAGGGGTATTGGGCTCTCTGGGAGACTGCTTTGTAGGGTTTGGGGTGTAGGGTCCGCTGGGGGTTCCGGACTCTGGCTCAGGACTAAAGGGCTTTAGGCTACATAATAGCATGGTTCATGGGCTTGGGATTAGGATGTCGGGTCGCACTAGGGTTTAGCATGCGGAAGTTTGTCGGGTGCTTGTTCCGCTGAATCGCGACAAAGCCCCAATTTGTCTTGCACATCGCGAGGAAAATCGTTCAACAAAGTAATTACCATGTCAACCTCGCCACCTTCAGTGTCCCATCATCAACAGCACTGTCAGCAACATGCTCATGATGCTAAGGCCCATCACCACACGAAGAAAGGCAAACCATAGACCCCGCAACCCAAACCATGTGGCCTGGACCTGGACCATCGTGGTCAGACTGACCTGCGTCTCGTCCGCACTTTTGGCGGAATTCGCCGGCACTTCGATGGGTGAGTGGGCATGACCTTCAAGCTCAAGGGCTTCATTTGAGAGCTCCTAAAACGCTCAGCCCTAAATATCGGGCTTTCGACTTGGAGCTGGGACTTGAATTATATGGTCTTGGATTTGAGAGTTCTCACCTCCCTCTATAAATTAGATCTCAAGCCCTAAACTACCCTGAAACCCTAAACCCCTAAGCCTAGCCTGGCTTGTCCGAGTGTGAGTGTCAAAAATAACCCCTAAGCCTAAGCACTCAGGCTTTACGACCTCGAGACCGTGAGACCAAGGTAGAGTTGAAATGTCAAGGATTAGGTTTTGGGAATTAGGGTTTGCTGAGGGTGCACGGGCCACTTATACCTTAACTGAGGGTGGTGGGCTTCCGCGTTCCAGACATGCTAGGGTTTTATGATTGGGTATATATATATATATGTGTGTGTGTGTGTTTAGAATAGAATAGAGATAGAGACGTAGGCGAGTATGTATGCGTGTTTGCATGCATTGCAAGATATTGCAAGCATGTACAAGAACCACTTTCCAACCGCTTGGAAGTAATAGCTTGGGCCATGGCTGTAAGATATTAGTTCTCTGCCTTACTAAAGCCTGATAACCACTAGTCCTACAAAGAGCCTAGATCCCCAAGTCATCCCTAAAGCCGTACAATCCTGTGCATACCTAAGGGTTGGGAGCGAAACCCTACAGCAAGCACTTTTTTATGTCAGTTGGCGGTGCGCTTGATCGGAGATCACTATAAGAAGACACAAGTCAACGCCAAAGCTTCTACAACGAGCGGTTTCAGCCACATAAAGCCAACAAACGCATGAAACCTTAGAGTTCAGGCTTCATCTGTCTGAGAATCCGGCTGCTGAGGTACACGGGCGAAGCAATGGAGCCAAGCCGTCCTCAACGCCAGAAAGAGACGCGCTGTAAGTTCGACGGTTTAGGGTTTAGGGGAGATGCAGCGGTTAAGGACAGGAGCGTAGAAATATGACTATGTCGAAATAAGAACTAAGTAACACCAGGAAGTGTCTCATCCATGGAAGGGTTGGGAAAGTGCAGGGTTTTGGGCCCCAGCGCATGAAAGGTTTAGGGTTTAGGTTTTAGGGTTTTGGCCGATTTTGAGAACACCTGGAAAGTCTCTGAGATTCTCTGAGCTTGCCGCCTCCGTCAAGCAACTCTTTCTCGATGAACTTGAGCATGAAATTCCTTGGGCTGTAACATAGGTCGGTTTAGGGTTTAGGGTTCAGGGTTAGGTACATGGACACTATGAAACACTGTGGTAAGCCCAAAACCGACAACAAACCTGTGAACTTGTACCAGTCTTCAATCTTCCTTGGCCTCATGTGGGGGCCTTAGTAATTAGCCTAGGGTCTTGATGTATTCTATTTCACGCGTATTTGGGACTGTAAAGGGGTGAGTAGCAGTACTGATTCCGGCTCCTAGATGTCCGCCCTTTTTGTTGAATCTTAGGGAACCGCTCGCTTCTTGAGGCTTCGGACTTCCAGCGGTATGTATCTCTGTATCAAAATACAAGTGGGCGCAGCAATGGCGACCCCTGATTCAGACATCCTCTTCCCTCGAAAGAAGGATGATACTAGGGATTCTAGCGTTTTCTATACTCGGGGGTCTACACTACGCCTCAAAAGCCGAAGATCTCAAACCCAGACCATGCCGTATATTGAGCTCAAGCGCAGCTACTGTAAGCAGAAAGTCCTCAAACATACCTAACTTTAGCCCCACCACGAACCCTGGATACCCTTGCCGAAAAAAAAAACTCGTGTCAACTCGTGTCAAAGACCGCAGAGACCTCTTCTCTTTGAACCCAGGGTCATGCTCTTCCACACCTCCGGCAGGTAAATCGCACCCCTTTCAGCCTGGAAACGGTCCGGGGGCAGGTCAACGGTCATCACGGTGTTGAAAGGTGTCAGGATTGGGTTGATTTCAAGAGATTCGGAATTTCAGGTGTGGGTTATAACATAATAAGCCTTATCATCCGAGACTGATACTATTCCTTACTACCTTAAATCTGTAAAAACCCTCTACTACCCATGACGCAATAGCGGCATGCTGCAAAAAAGTGTTGCGCTCCAAGGGCTACTTACCGGCTAGGGGAAGCTGTGGAATTTCGCGATTTCGGCTCGCCGCAACAATTTCTTGCGGCTTATAGACCCTCACTTAAACCCAGGCACCTGTGTTGCAGCTGCTCTATTATAAGCCTCTTTAGTGCAGAGCAACTTCGTGGCTTCGAGTGATCCCTCGCCACCTTGCTGCTGGCTCAAAAGTTTCCGGGTTCGAGCACTTACTGTTTGTGTTGGTGTTCAGGGTTCTGGGTATTCGACTGCAAATTTAGCATCCCCATTATCATTATCCATCACAGTCTCCTCAAGCTGTCCTCAAGCACTCCCCCGGTAGTCGCACTCTTCTACGCCAAGCGGCTTGGAAGGAGTCGACGCCTCGTGCTACGAACATGACGGTGGTGGGGCCCATGATTCCCTTGGAGAAATCCTGGAAGAACGGCCAAGAAGAAGAAGGGACGGGAGGCTTTGGGAATGATCGCGGCCTTCGTCATTTGATGGATTTCCTCTGGCTTATAACAACGAAACCCCAAAACTAAACCCGAACTCACCGAACTTACAATTACCCTATCACACCCTGCACTTGCAGCTCCCGGAAAAACAGCAATTTGAGAAACAAAGAACCGACACAAGAATCAGCTTCTGATCGGCAAAACCCAAAAAACCTTATAAACGCACATGTCTCTTAAGCCTCACCCAAGGCCCTTACAGCCCGGAACCCAAACACCATATTGCTGTGTCCATATTGTAACCTTGTAGCACGCTCCAAAGGACAAGCCCACATAACTTTACATGGAGCTGCACAGCACCCTGAAAGCCGCCCTTTTTTTGAACTCACTTAAGCTGTTGACAGGCAAAAGCAGGTCTCCTGGCCAATGCGGTCCAAGGTCTCCTGTCGAGACTATTTAGCATTGAATGGGACTTTCGGGCTTTTTTTGGTTTAACACGTATGGCCTACGGGCTTAAAGGTGTTTTGGGTGCTGGGCTTAGGGGGTGCTTGGCACTCGCACTCGGACAACGCAGCCCAGCAACAAGTGCCCAAACAAAAACATCACCGCAATGGCAGGCTCATGACAGAACAAAAGGCCGGCTTGGTCAAAGCCCTATGAAGCACTATTCCCATCGTAGCGGGCCACTACCCCTCTCACATGGTTGGCATCTTCACTTGGCACTTATGCACTCACCACGCTGGCTACCATTGATGCTCCCAGCAGAATCGTGTTCACAAGACCTGTTCCAGTCGGAGTAAACCGCCGTACTGTCATGCATGTCTGACCATGCTGCAAGTTTCCACCATGCGAAGGCCGACAACATGCAAGCACCCAGCGATTCTCATTTCCAGCAAAGCACCTCGAATGCGTGCACACCAAGCAGCCCTCACATGCAGCAACCTTTCAGCACCAGGCCGAGGTGGTTAGCTCAGCACAACAGTTACTTGGACGCAGTGTGCTCTTGCAAAAAACTCAACCGTAGTCGCACAGCACCCGACCTACAAAATGAAAGGCCCCCCAAGTGCGGTGGCTTTCTGCTGCGACGACATGCCGCAGAAGCAGCGGGAGGGCACAGTATAACGATAAGCCCAAGAATGAATCGTACGCTGGGGAACTGGTGTGTCCACATAGCACAGCGGTTCGTCAGCAAGACAACGCTTCTCCAGCCCAGTGGACCTCTAGTCCAGCTTGGGGATCCCATGGCATGGGTGCATATGTCGATATTGTACCATGTGGGTTTGTGCTTGCGTAAGCACAGGCATCATCCGCATCCCATGTCGGAAAGCTCGCAGCTCAACAACACAGCCTCGGAGCACTGACTCCATTGCCATATCGCAATATCACCGACCGCCGTCCCACGTTTTCCAGATGCTGCCGCACTTCGCTCAGCTACGCCAAAGCCAGAAGCCTTTAGGATCCTCCAACTCATCCCGGCTGCGCTCAGTGCAAAGTTGCACTTGGAAGTTCAAAGTAACTGTTTTTTCCGCGATGCAGTTTCGAGCCAACGATTGGGAAAAGGGTTCAAGTGTCAGTAGCTTGGAGGCTGAGTTCTGGATTCAAGTTTTGCGGATAGTTCTGGGGCATAAAGTTTTAAGTTCCGTTTCCGGAAGGAAATGGTCCCAACACCCTATTACCGGCCCCGCACCTTTTGCAGTCCAGGGGTTTGCTGTGGTGTGTTTAAGTTCCGAGACCCACGGTGTCTATGTTCCCACGCTTTCTGTTTTCTTTGGCCTTTGTACTCGGAAAAACCAGACGAGGACCGTGACAGGGCTCTGGGGTTTCAAGGGTTCAAGTACTCTAAATTCCTAAACCCTAAACCCTTATAATTGAGCCTGAAGCCCGGGCCCTGAAGAGGCAGTGATTTAAATTTCGGGTTTGAGGTTTAAGATTTAGGGTTTAGGGTGAGTCCGCGAGAGAGAGAGAGAGGGAGAGAGAGACAGAGAGACAGAGAGAGCGTGAGAAAGGGTTTAAGGTTTTAGCGGTTTACGGTTTAAGGTTTAGGCTTTAGGATTTCTCACAGATAACCCTTCGGCCCTGCACTCTCCAAGTTGAAAACCTGCACCGATCTCCAAATCCATCTGCAGCTACCGACCAGGACATCAAGAGTGGAGTGATTCTGCCCAGAATTTCCCGTCTGACTTCAGACCGCCTTACTGAACTTGCTGAAGTCTCTATCTAAAACCCTAAAACCCTAAACCCAAAAACCCTTTTTCGAACCCAGACTCTGCCAATCAGCTGGGAAGAAGCACGTCCCCTAAAACCCCAAACCCTGGGTTCGTTGCCTTAGGTTCCGAAGCCTTGAACTCCAGCGCCGCTATTGGGCACAGCATGCACCACGAATGTAGGGGGGCCTTAATAATTAGACCAGGGCTTTGGGGTATATTATGCTGTAACTATAGTAACAAAAGCCAAACCCTAAACCTCAAAACCCCTAAACCCTAAACCCTAAATCCCAAACCCCAAAACCTCAAAACTCCTAAACTCCTAAACCTCGAAACCCCTAAACCCGAAGGGTCGGCGGGTCCAGCGTCTGGGAGCCCTCCGGGCCCAGGAGCGCAAAGTCCATCGTCACCTGTGACATCCAAGGAGGTTTAGGGTTTAGGGTTTTGGGTTTTGGGTTTAAAGGGTTTAGGG